GCAACACAGTCACACTGACCTCAGTTTGTTGTAGTACCGTAGTACTGCACCACAGTAACACAGACATAAGTTTGTTGTAGTACTGTAGTACTGCACCACAGTAGCATAGACCGCAGTTTGTTGTAGTGCAGTCGTACTGCACCACAGTAACACTGACCTCAGTTTGTTGTAGTACCGTAGTACTGCACCACAGTAACACAGACATAAGTTTGTTGTAGTACTGTAGTACTGCAACACAGTCACACTGACCACAGTTTGTTGTAGTACTGTAGACTGCGCCACACTAACACAGACCTCAGTTTGTTGTAATACTGTAGTACTGCACCACGGTAGCATAGACCTCAGTTTGTTGTAGTACTTTAGACTGTGCCACATTAACACTGACCTCAGTTTCTTGTAGTACTGTAGTACTGCACCACAGTAAGACAGACCTCAGATTCTTGTAGTACTGTACTACTGCACCAAAGTAAAATAGACCTGAGTTTGTCATTGTACTGTAGTACTGCACCACAGTGACACATACCTCAGTTTGTTGTAGTACTGTAGTAATGCACTACAGTGACACAGACCTCAGTTTGTCATTGTACTGTAGTACTGCACCACAGTAACACTGACCTCAGTTTCTCATTGTACTGTAGTACTGAACCAAAATAACATAGACCTCAGTTTGTTGTAGTACTGTAGCACTGCACCACAGTAGCACAGACCTCAGTTTGTTCTAGTACTGTAGTACTGCACCACAGTAACAAAGACCTCAGTTTCTTGAAGTACTGTAGACTGCGCCACAGTAACACAGACCTCAGTTTGTTCTAGTAATGTAGTACTGCACCACAGTAACACCAACCTAAGTTTGTTCTAGTACTGTACACTACTCCACAATAACATAGTCCTCAGTTTGCTGTAGTACTGTAGTACTGCACCACAGCAACAGAGACCTCAGTTTGTTGTAGTACTGTAGTACTGCACCACAGTAACATAGACCTCAGTTTGTCATTGTGCTGTAGTACTGTACCACAGTAACAAAGACCTCAGTTTGTTGTAATATTGTAGTACTGCACCACAGTAACACTTACCACAGTTAGTTGTAGTACTGTATTGTAGTACTGCAACACAGTCACACTGACCTCAATTTGTTGTAGTACTGTAGTACTGCACTACAGTAACACTGACCTCAGTTTGTTGTAGTACAGAAGTACTGCACCACAGTAACACAGACCTCAGTTTGTTGTAGTACTGTAGTACTGCAACACAGTCACACTGACCTCAATTTGTTGTAGTACTGTAGTACTGCACTACAGTAACACTGACCACAGTTTCTTGTAGTACTGTAGACTGCGCCAAACTAACACAGACCTCAGTTTGTTGTAGTACTGTAGACTGTGCCACAGTAACACAGAATTCAGTTTGTTGTAGTACTGTAGTACTGCATCACAGTAAGACAGACTTCCTCAGACCTCAGTTTGTTACTAGTAACTGCAGTGTCTACACCACCAGTAACATAGACCTCAGTTTGTAGTAGTACTGTAGTACTGCACCACAGAAACAAAGACATCAGTTTGTTGTAGTACTGTAGTACTGCACCACAGTTACAAAGACCTCAGTTTGTAGTAGTACTGTAGTACTGCACCACAGTAACACAGACCTCAGTTTGACCATTGCCAGTAATGTACTGAAGACAGCGCCACATTAACACAAACCTCCCCTTGTTGTAGTACTGCAGACTGCGCCACAGTACTACAGACCTCAGTTTGTAGTAGTACTGTAGTACAACACCACAGTAACACAGGCCTCAGTTTGTAGTAGTACTGCAGTCCTGCACCACAGTAATAAAGACCTCAGTTTCTTGTAATACTGTAGTACTGCGCCACAGTAACATAGACCTCAGTTTGTTGTAATACTGTAATACTGCACCACAGTAACATAGACCTCAGTTTGTAGTACTGCTTTAGTACTGCACCACAGTAACATAGACCTCAGTTTGTTGTAGTACTGTAGTACTGCACCACAGTAACACAGACCTCAGTTTGTTGTAGTACTGTAGTACTGCACCACAGTAACACTGACTTCAGTTTGTAGTAGTACTGTAGTACTACACCACAGTAACACAGACCTCAGTTTGTTGTAGTACTGTAGTACTGCACCACAGTAACACAGAACTCAGTTTGTTGTAATACTGTAGTACTGCACCACAGTAACATAGACCTCAGTTTGTTGTAATACTGTAATACTGCACCACAGTAACATAGACCTCAGTTTGTAGTAGTAGTGCTATGTACTGCACCACAGTAACACAAACCTCAGTTTGTTGTAGTACTGTAGTACAGCGCCACAGTAACACGAACCTCCGTTTGTTGTAGTACTGCAGACTGCGCCACAGTAACATAGACCTCAGTTTGTTGTAATACTGTAGTACTGCACCACAGTAACATAGACCTCAGTTTGTTGTAGTACTGTAGTACTGCACCACAGTAACATAGACCTCAGTTTGTTGTAGTACTGTAGACTACGAGACATTAACACAGACCTTCGTTTGTTATTGTACTGTAGTACTGCACGACAGTAACACAGACCTCAGATTCTTGTAGTTCTGTAGTACTGCACCACAGTAACAGAGACCTCAGGTTGTTGTAGTACTGTAGTACTGCACCACAGTAACACAGACCTCAGTTTGTTGTAATACTGTAGTACTGCACCACAGTAACATAGACCTCAGTTTGTTGTAGTACTGTAGTACTGCACCACAGTAACACTGACTTCAGTTTGTAGTAGTACTGTAGTACTGCACCACAGTAACATAGACCTCAGTTTGTTGTAATACTGTAGACTGCGCCACAGTAACATAGACCTCAGTTTGTTGTAGTACTGTAGTACTGCACCACAGTAACATAGACCTCAGTTTGTTGTAATACTGTAGTACTGCACCACAGTAACACAGACCTCAGTTTGTTGTAATACTGTAGTACTGCACCTCAGTAACATAGACCTCAGTTTGTTGTAGTACTGTAGTACTGCACCACAGTAACAAAGACCTCAGTTTGTTGTAATACTGTAATACTGCACCACAGTAACATAGACCTCAGTTTGTAGTAGTGCTTTAGTACTGCACCACAGTAACACAAACCTCAGTTTGTTGTAGTACTGAAGACAGCGCCACAGTAACACGAACCTCCGTTTGTTGTAGTACTGCAGACTCCGCCACAGTAACATAGACCTCAGTTTGTTGTAATACTGTGGTACTGCACCACAGTAACATAGACCTCAGTTTGTTGTAGTACTGTAGAGTGCACCACAGTAACATAGACCTCAGTTTGTCGTAGCACTGTAGACTACGAGACATTAACACAGACCTTCGTTTGTTATTGTACTGTAGTACTGCACTACAGTAACACAGGCCTCAGATTCTTGTAGTTCTGTAGTACTGCACCACAGTAACAGAGACCTCAGGTTGTTGTAGTACTGTAGTACTGCACCACAGTAACACAGACCTCAGTTTGTTGTAATACTGTAGTACTGCACCACAGTAACATAGATCTCACTTTGTTGTAGTACTGTAGTACTGCACCACAGTATCACTGACTTCAGTTTGTAGTAGTACTGTAGTACTACACCACAGTAACATAGACCTCAGTTTGTAGTAGGACTGTAGTACTGCACCACAGTAACATAGACCTCAGTTTTTAGTAATACTGTAGACTGCGCCTCAGTAACATAGACCTCAGTTTGTTGTAATACTGTAGTACTGCACCACAGTAACACAGACCTCAGTTTGTTGTAATACTGTAGTACTGCACCACAGTAACACTGTCCTCAGTTTGTTGTAATACTGTAGTACTGCACCACGGTAACATAGACCTCAGTTTGTCATTGTACTGCAGTACTGCACCACAGTAACATAGACCTCAGTTTGTTGTAATACTGTAGTACTGCACCACTGCACCTCAGTTTGTTGTAGTACTGTAGTACTGCACCACAGTAGACCTCAGTTTGTTGTAGTACTGTAGTACTGCACCACAGTAACTGCACCAGTAGTACTGTAGTACTGCACCACAGTAACACAGACCTCAGTTTGTTGTAGTACTGTAGTACTGCACCACAGTAACATAGACCTCAGTTTGTTGTAATACTGTAGTACTGCACCACAGTAACATAGACCTCAGTTTGTTGTAATACTGTAGTACTGCACCACAGTAACATAGACCTCAGTTTGTTGTAATACTGTAGACTGCGCCACAGTAACATAGACCTCAGTTTGTAGTAGTACTGTAGTACTGCACCACAGTAACAAAGACCTCAGTTTGTTGTAATACTGTAGACTGCGCCACAGTAACATAGACCTCAGTTTGTTGTAATACTGTAGTACTGCACCACAGTAACATAGACGTCAGTTTGTTGTAATACTGTAGACTGCGCCACAGTAACATAGACCTCAGTTTGTTGTAATACTGTAGACTGCGCCACAGTAACACAGACCTCAGTTTGTTGTAATACTGTAGACTGCGCCACAGTAACACAGACCTCAGTTTGTTGTAATACTGTAGACTGCGCCACAGTAACATAGGCCTCAGTTTGTTGTAATACTGTAGACTGCGCCACAGTAACACAGACCTAAGTTTGTTGTAATACTGTATACTGCACCACAGTAACATAGACCTCATTCTGTTGTAATACTGTAGTGCTACACCACAGTAACATAGACCAAGGTTACTGTGGTCCAGTTCTACACCAATGTTACTGGGGTCCAGTTCTACACCAATTTTAATGTAGTCCAGTTCTAACAAATGTTACTGTGGTCCACTTCTACACCAAGGTTACTGTGGTCCAGTTCTACACCAAGGTTACTGTGGTCCACTTCTACACCAATTTTAATGTAGTCCAGTTCTACATCAATGTTACTGTAGTCCACTTCTACACCAAGGTTACTGTGGTCCAGTTCTACACCAATGTTACTGGGGTCCAGTTCTACACCAATTTTAATGTAGTCCAGTTCTAACAAATGTTACTGTGGTCCACTTCTACACCAAGGTTACTGTGGTCCAGTTCTACACCAAGGTTACTGTGGTCCACTTCTACACCAATTTTAATGTAGTCCAGTTCTACATCAATGTTACTGTAGTCCACTTCTACACCAAGGTTACTGTAGTCCACTTCTACACCAAGGTTACTGTAGTCCACTTCTACACCAAGGTTACTGTGGTCCACTTCTACACCAATTTTAATGTAGTCCAGTTCTACATCAATGTTACTGTAGTCCACTTCTACACCAAGGTTACTGTGGTCCAGTTCTACACCAAGGTTACTGTAGTCCACTTCTACACCAAGGTTACTGTGGTCCAGTTCTACACTAAGGTTACTGTGGTCCAGTTCTACACCAAGGTTACTGTGGTCCAGTTCTACACCAAGGTTATTGGGGTCCAGTTTTACAGCAATGTTACTGGGGTCCAGTTCTACACCAAGGTTACTGTGGTCAAGTTCTACACCAATGTTACTGTGGTCCAGTTCTACACCAATGTTACTTTGGTCCAGTTCTACACCAATGTTACTGTAGTCCAGTTCTCCACCAAGGTTACTGTGGTCAAGTTCTAAACCCATGTTACCGTGGTCCAGTTCTACACCAAGGTTACTGTAGTCCAGTTCTACACCAAGGTTACTGTGGTCCAGTTCTACACCAATGTTACTGGGGTCCACTTCTACAACAAGGTTACTGTGGTCTTGTTTTACGCTCAGGTTAGTGTGGTCCAGTTCTACGCCTAGATTACGGTGGTCCAATTCTACACCAATGTTACTCTGGTCCACTTATACGCCAGTGTAACTGTGATCCACTTCTACACCAAGGTTACCGTGGTCCACTTCTACACCAATGTTACTCTGGTCCAGTGTTACTTAGTCCGCCATACACCAAGTGTTACTGTGGTCCACTTCTACACCAAGGTTACCGTGGTCCACTTCTACACCAAGGTTACTGTGGTCAAGTTCTACACCAATGTTACTGTGGTCAAGTTATACACCAAGGTTACTGTGGTCAAGTGCTACACCAATGTTACTGGGGTCCACTTCTACACCAAGGTTACTGTTGTCTTGTTTTACGCTCAAGGTTAGTGTGGTCCAGTTCTACGCCTAGATTACGGTGGTCCATATCTACACCAATGTTACTCTTGGTCCAGTTATAACACCAGCGAGAATTGTGGTCCAGTTTCTACACCAAGGTTACTGTTGTTTTACAGCTATGCCATTGTGGTCCAGTCTCTACAATTAAGCACACTGTGGTCCCAGTTCTACACCAATGTTACGCCAGGTCCAGTTCTTACACCAATGTTACTGTGGTCCAGTTCTACACCAGTGTTACTGGGGTCAAGTTCTACAACCAAGGTTGGCTTGGGACCAGCTCTTACACCAAGGTTACTGCCGTCAAGTTCTACACCAATGTTACTGTAGTCCAGTTCTACACCAAGCAGTTACTGTGGTCCAGTTCTACACTAAGCTGTGTCCACCACTGTGGTCACAGTTCTGCACCCAAGGTTACATTGGGGTCCAGTTTCTACACCAATGTTACTGTAGTCCTCTTTTACAACAAGCACAGGTTAGTTTGTGGTCCAGTTCAGTTCACGCCTCCATTACTGGGGTCCAATTCACTTCTACCACAATGTTATTGGTCCACTTTATACTGCCAGTGTAACTGTGATCCACTTCTACACCAAGGTTACTGTGGTCCAGCTTCTACACCAATGTTACTGTGGTCAAGTTCTACACCAATGTTACTGTGGTCAAGTTCTACACCAAGGTTACTGTGGTCAAGTTCTACACCAATGTTACTGGGGTCCACTTCTACACCAAGGTTACTGTTGTCTTGTTTTACGCTCAGGTTAGTGTGGTCCAGTTCTACGCCTAGATTACGGTGGTCCAACTCTACACCAATGTTACTCTGGTCCACTTATACGCCAGTGTAACTGTGGTCCACTTCTACACCAAGGTTACTGTAGTCCAGTTCTACATCAATGTTACTGTGGTCCAGTTCTACACCAATGTTACTGGGGTCCACTTCTACACCAAGGTTATTGGGACCAGTTCTACACCAAGGTTACTGTAGTCCAGTTCTACATCAATGTTACTGTGGTCCAGTTCTACACCAATGTTACTGTGGTCCAGTTCTACACTAAGGTTACTGTGGTCCAGTTCTACCACAAGGTTACTGGGGTCCAGTTCTACACCAATGTTACTGTAGTCCTCTTCTACCACAAGGTTATAGGGGTCCAGTTTAACACCAATGTTGCTGGGGTCCAGTTCTACACCAAGGTTATTGGGACCAGTTCTACACCAATGTTACTGTGGTCCATTTCTACACTAAGGTTACTGTGGTCCAGTTCTACCACAAGGTTACTGGGGTCCGGTTCTACACCAATGTTACTGTAGTCCTCTTCTACCACAAGGTTATAGGGGTCCAGTTTAACACCAATGTTGCTGGGGTCCAGTTCTACACCAAGGTTATTGGGACCAGTTCTACACCAATGTTACTGTGGTCCATTTCTACACTAAGGTTACTGTGGTCCAGTTCTACCACAAGGTTACTGGGGTCCGGTTCTACACCAATGTTACTGTAGTCCTCTTCTACCACAAGGTTATAGGGGTCCAGTTTAACACCAATGTTGCTGGGGTCCAGTTCTACACCAAGGTTACTGTGGTCCAGTTGTACACCAATGTTACGGTGGTCCAATTCTACACCAATGTTACTGTGGTCGACTTATACGCCAATGTTACTGTGAGTCAGTTCTACAACACGGTTACTGTGGTCCAGAGTTTACCTATACTTAATTCTTCAGCCATTATCTACCTGGACTAGAAGCATTGTAACCTTTACAGGCCCTCTTTGTATATATACATCTAATCAGAGGGCACGTGGTGTGCACACCATCATTCAAAAGTCCGCCATGTTGAATTGCTTTCCTCCCACTCAGTGATAATGAGTTGTCCGCCCACGCACCCGGGAAGCGGAGAGGGGGTGGAGGTGTTGGAGGGGTCCGCTGCAGTGATCTGCAGGACAGTACATCTTCATGCTACATATACATGCCAACTGACTTTCGGACAACAAGCCTGCTGCAACAGTGATAAGCGATTTTTTATCTGTATGAAGTATCAGCCCAACCTCTCTACCCTGTCTCCACCTCTACAGTCAGGGACAACTCTCTACCCTGTATCCACTCTACAGTCAGCCCCACTCCTCTCTAACCTGTTCACCCCACTCCTCTACAGTCAGCCCCACCACCTCTCTCTACCCTGTCTCCCACTTTCTACAGTCAGTCTCCCACCTCTCTACCCCTGTCTCCACCTCTACAGTCAGCCCCACCTCTCTAACCTGTGTCCCATCCCTACAGTCAGCCCCACCTCTACTCCCTGTCTCCACCTCTACAGTCAGCCCCACCTTTCTACCTCCTGTTCTCCACCTCAACAGTCAGTCCCACCTCTTCTTCCCTGCTCCACCTAGTCAGTCAGCCCCACCTCTCTACCCTGTTCCCACCTCTACAGTCAGCCGCGACCTTCTACCTCTGTCTCCACCTCTTTAACCTACAGCCTAACAGTCAGCCCCACCTCTCTTCCCTCTGTCTCCCCCACTCTACAGTCAGTCCCACCTTTCTTACCTCTGACTCCACTTTCTACAGTCAGGACCCCACCTTTCTACCTTGTTCTCCAATTTCTACAGTCAGTCCCACTCTCTACTCCTGACTCCACCTCTACAGTCAGCTCCCACCTTCTCTGCCTCCTGTATCCACTCCCTATAGTCAGTCCGACCTTCTCTACCCTGTCTCCACCTCCTACAGTCAGCTCCTGCAACCTCTACTTACCCTGTCTCCATCCTCAACAGTTTCAGTCCCACCTCTCTACTCCTGTCTCCACTCTCTACAGTCAGCCCCCACCTCTCCTTTACCCTGTTCCCCACTCCACAGTCAGCTCCCTCCTTCTACCTGTCTCCAGCTCCACCTCTCTACCTGTGACTCCACCCTACAGTCAGTCCTTCACCCTGATTCCTACTCCCGGTTAGCTCCACCTCTACAGTCAGCCTCCCACCCACCTCTCCCACCTATACAGTCGACCCCTAATTCTCCCACCTACTAGTCAGCTCCCGACCTCTGTACCCCTGTTCCCACCTCACAGTCAGCCCCACCTCTACCCTGTCTCCACCTCCTGCAATAGTCAGTCCCACCTCTCTACTCCTGTCTCCACCTCTACAGTCAGCCCTACACCTCTCTCCACCTTTCTACAGTCAACCTGTATCCACCTAACAGTCAGCTCCCACCTCTCTAACCTGTCTCCATCCCAACAGTCAGCCCCACCTCTCTAACCCTGTCTCCACCTCTACAGTCAGCTCCCACCTCTCTAACCTGTCTCCACCTCATCAGCCTCTACAGTCAGCCAGTCCCACCTCTCTACCCTGTCTCCACTCTCTACAGTCAGCCCCACCTCTCTACCCTGTGTCAACCCCACCTCTACAGTCAGCTCCCACTCTCTCTAACCCTGTGACTCCACCTCTACAGTCAGCCCCACCTCTCTACCCCTGTCTCCACCTTCTACAGTCAGCTCCCACCTCTCTACCCTGTCTCCACCTCTACGGTCAGCCCCACCTTCTCTACTCCCTGACTCCACCTCTACAGTCAGTCCCACCTCTACCCCTGTCTCCACCCCAACAGTCAGTCAGCCCCACCTCTCTACCCTGACTCCCACCTCTACAGTCAGCCCCACCTCTCACCTTCTGTCTCCACCTCTACAGTCAGCCCCCACCTCTCTACCCTGTCTCCCATCCCAACAGTCAGTCCCACCTCTCTCACCCTGTCTCCACCCCTACAGTCAGCCTCCCACCTCTCTAACTGTCTCCACCTCTACAGTCAGCCCCACCTCTTCAACCTGCTCCACCCAGTCCACCTCTCACTCTCCCACCTCTGCAGTCAGTCACGCCTGACCACCTCCACAGTCAGCCCCACCCTTTAACCTGTCTCCCATCCCAACAGTCCAGTCCCACCTCTCTACTCCTGACTCCACCTCTGAAGTCAGCCCTCACCTCTCTCACCCTGTTTCCACCTCTACAGTCAGCCCATTTGTCTCCTAGCCTGTGTCACCCATCCCACCTTGGTCTGTCTCCACCCCTGTCAGTCTCCATCCGGTCCCCTTCCACCTCCGCCACCCTATCCATCCGCCCCTATCCACGGTCGGTCACCCTCTGTCTCCACCCCTCTATGGTCGGCTGGCTCCTCTGTCCGCCTCCACTCTCTACCGGTGCCTCTGGTCGGCCGCTGTGTCCCACGGTCTATAGTCAGCTCCCAGCCTCTAACCTGTATCCACCAGTCAGTCCCCCACCTCTTCTCACCTGTCTCCACTCCCTACAGTCAGCCCCACCCTCTCTAACCTGTCTCCACCCCTTACAGTCAGTCCCACCTGTCTCTCACACTGTCAGCACACCTCTACAGTCAGCCCCACCTGTCTCATCCCCTGTCGGTCCACCTCTACCAGTCAGTCCACCTCTCCACCTGTCTCCACCTCTACAGTCAGCCTCCACCTCTCTACCCTGTCTCCACCTCACAGTCAGCCCCACCTCTCTCCTGTCT